ATTATAAATGTAGCATTGCAAACAAAACATTTGATCTAACAAGTCCAGTGTGGCTTTTTAGTTTGTACTATATTTGAGTTGGTTTATGTCTTCAATATTTTTTATTTATAGCTGTGTTGTATGTATGACTAAGCCAAGCTTTTCATTTGTAATTATGTTTGTCTCAGGACTCCAACTGTTTGGCCAGTCAGGCTCAGCTCGCAGGGATCCTTCTGAGGAGAGAAGGACCAGACTTTCTAACTCAAGATGGTCAGTATACATATCAATAACAAGAGGTCAAGTTTTCTCATTAAATGAAAAACGAAATGTGATTAAGTCCAAAATATCATCAGTTAGAAGTTTTGCCTATATTACCGTTAACATTAACATTAGCTCTCCCAGTATAGTAGCTCGGTATTACAGAGAATGGTGGGATGCATATGTCTTAATGATGTTCTTTAATGCCTCACACAATGTGTGCTTGCAGAGAACCTGATGGATGAACTGGAGAGAATCTACAGAAGAGCTGGCAGCAGAAAGCTTTGGTCTGATATTCTCTCTTTCACACACACACTTCCAATGCTTCGTTAATTTATGTGACATCAAAATGATTCCAGATCAGACTGTGTTCATGATCTTTTCTGACCAGACAGGATTTAAAAAGTAAAATTAAGCATCCAGATCTATCAACATAAATTCCAAAGATGTAAGTCATTATAAGTCATCGCTCTATAGATATAGAATTTGTAGTTTATTTTAGAATGTTACATGAGATATTGGAATTATGCTTCATATTTTGTTTGTTGGGTCCCTTTAACCAAATGTATTATGTCCATTTCCTGTTTTTTCGACACTTGTCATCCATTTAAAAAAATGGTCTCTCTTTCCCACATGTTAAAATAACTTGTATTTAATGTGGCTGAACTGTAGGCTGGCAGTGCGCCACGCTGCTGCCAATATCAAGAAGTTTGCCGGCTCTATAGCTCCTCACATCACCACAATTCTGGTGAATGGGAAACAGGTAATGTTCAGGCAGAAATGACGGAAGCATGTTTTCTCCCCGTGAGCTGGCTCAGTACAGCTAGCCATACCCTGAGAGCTGTGTGAGGTTCAGCCAATCCTACTTTGAAATTCCTCATAACCAGGGTGTCGACAGAAAAACAGGTGGAGACTAATTTGATTTGACAATTTCAAAGTTTGGATTTTTGACTCAAATATTTCAAAAAGTCACTACCTCTCCTCCTGTTGGCTCATAATTTAGTGTGCAGGTCTAGTAATAAAAAATATTTAAGTAAAAAAAAATTGTGTAAAATACTTTCTCTTTTTTCTAACTCATAAGAAGTATCACTAGTAAAAATGAGTTGATACTTGGTGTAGGCCAGTGAATACCACAGACTCAGCCAAAAGTGAAGCCAAATCATTTCAACCACCTCCTGGTGGCTGGCTGCTGTATAGGTCATGATCCCTGCCTCATCCATGTTCGTGGACGGGACAGTGAACAAACGAAAATACATGTCAAATACATTTCAATAAACAAAAAGGATGGTTGCTGTCATTCGAGGTAATTCTAATCACACTGATGTTTGTTCATTTGTTCAAGGTTAAGGTTTAAATTACTTATTTGATGATATAAAAAAACAGGGTGAAATGTCACGATTGGCAGCTGAGACTGACTCGGGATCGTTTGAGCCCTTGTATTGGTTGTAAGGATATTTTGGCTTTATTTTTGTACAGGGAGGAAGTGGAGATGTCTGGTCCATCTTTAAATGTATAAATTATAATTACTATTATTTGTTGACACAGTCTACAGTTAAGGCTGACTGTACTCGACACATTTTTAAATACAACCAGTGCTAGTCTCTTAAGTTGACATTTAACTGTAATGGTGACATTTAACTTGCCAGACACCCTGTTATAAGTGGTGTAATGCAGTAGTTGACTAGTATCTTAGCATCCAGCTAAAATATTGAGCAGCTAAAGCTACTTCTGAGTTGAACATCGTAGACTGGCTTCCTCTCACACAGTTATGAGTTTGACCAAACCAGCAAGGCCAAGCTAGAAAGCCCCTGGACTCAGATGTGTACAGGAACTTGTTGTTGTTGTTGTTGTTGTCTGCTTCCTGTTTCGATTAACCATCCCAGAGGCTGGACACTCGTGCTCTTAGGCTGGCTGTATAATCCAAGCTACACAAATTCATCACAACAGAAAGTATATATAAAATATAAGAGGTAGTGCAACTGTATGGAAGTACATTGAAAACACTGGGCACCAAGGACCTTGTAAAATTTAATTTAACCCCCTTTTCCAAAACAACAGAACAACATGGACAACTTGAACATTAAAAATCTAAAGCCCCTCTTCAGAGCAGGGTTTGGTTTGTAATGACCTGAGGGGCTTCTATTGTAGATGCAAATGAAGATGTTTCGCGCCCACTGTTCCAGTTGAGGAGAACAAATCTATTTGATTTTTTTACCACAAAGCTGCCAAATTTTCATTTGTGGTATACTGCTGGGCTGACTCACAAGGAATTATTTCACTTTAATAGTTGTTCCAACATCTCTTGTGAGCTTTTGTCCCACTCTTTAGTCAGTGTTTTCTGTGTCCATGCTCTGATTTGAATTTGTCTGGTTGACTGACATAAAATCTTTTATTGTTTGATGTTTTACTAATTAATAGGATTTTTTTTTTTACAGAAATTTGATTATCCCATAGAGGGAGAAAAAAGCCTGGAGGCTGATTTCCCACTAGCTGGGAAATGGCATCAATACTCAGTTCAATTTACTTTCTCATTTACCTAACATGGTCGGGAAGTGAAGCTTGAAATAGGTTCCTGCACAAAGCACCGGTGGATTGACACCACACCATGCCTTCTAAACATCACAGCTTTGTTGCCTTTTTATTCATTGTGCTCAAGATGTGCCGTCGCATTTCTGCAGGTTTAAGCACTGAATAACTGCACACATATATTGACTGACACATACACACACACACAAATCTGAGTTGTCCTCAGCATATAATAAGAAGAGGTTGTTTTTCTGATGATTATATTCCCCATCAGTGAATTTCATGTCATTTGTCCACTGCTTCTGTGAGGATGGCTTCGACTCCATATCTGTGTGTGTCTTAGCAACCCTAGCTGTGGGCTCCTATGTGAAGATAACCACACATAATGTATATTGCTTTTTCCTCATAGGATTCCTGCAGGCAAGAGGAGACATTGTGAAGGCTTGAATGGCTTCCAAAAATTAGTGAACATTAAAATATTTCGTGAGAAGCCAGAACTTGTATTTGGGCTTCAGACAATTAAATTCAATCAATGAATTCATACTTTGTAAATTGTGTTTTCGAAAATATGTGATTGAGAGAAGGAATCAGTTCAGTTTTATCATTTAAAAATTATTTTTAATCATTTTAATAAACATCATAGATATTTTGTATCCCTTCCTCAAAGGCAAGTGCTCTAGAATTAAAGTCTATTTTATTACAGTGCTGTTACTGTGACACACACAGTAAATGTACACTGTATCATACATACCAGTAAAGTTGAGGAAGGCTCCTCTGCCTTATTTTACAAATGAACAACAGATGTTTAAGTCGTAGCTTTTAGTTCATCTGTCATGACGTGAAAAATGTTCTTGTGTCTTGTGTCTCTAGGTCTGTTGTCCGCCTCGCTGCTAGTCTCTTAACTAAGCTGGTGGACAGCCTTGCCCCCAGTATAACTAGTGTTTTAGTGCATGGCAAGCAGGTAAGTGGACACACAGACAGCAAGGCCTGAGTAGTTCACGGTCCCTTTTTAAATGATTTATTTATTAATTACAATGATTTTAATGTTCACTGATTATAAAAAGGAAATTCAGAAAGATGTGATTGTTAGCTCCTCATGATGTGAACCTATGGGAATTACTTAGCTAGCTGCATGTTCATGTTCATCATCACGGCTCGCCTCTCGTGTGTGTGTGTGTGTTTGTGTAACTAAGCTCTACAGTAGTAGCGAGGCTGCCAGCATGGCCACCATAGAATCATAATATGCACTGTGTCCATGTGTCTAGACACACTCTACAAGAAGATTGATTTATTGTGATGCAGGACTTTGTCTGATGCCACTCCCTCATGGGCGCATCGTTTCCTGTCAAGTGTTATTCAGAGATTAGACTCCTCAAGAGTGTCGCTTATCTCACCCAATTTTTACCCTTCTGAACAGTTTTTCAGAAGCTACACCTTGAGCTACTCCGCCATGTCATTATGCCGGAGTAGCTCAAGGTGTGAATCTGCATATAGATTGCCTACCGGAGGGAACACTCCTTTCAACATGATTGGAAATGCTGATTTTAAATTTGTTCCCCTGCTTACAATAACAGCTCAGTGGGAAAAAATGAGAGGCACCGCCCCACTGAAGTCAATCCTGACTTCAGTTTTGATTAAATCTCCCTTCAATATTGAAATCCTCCAATTCAAAGCTGGTCATTTCCAAACTTTATTTTGTAGATGCAGGCTTCCTTCTTTTTTCCTCTGCCAGAATCAGTTTGGATGTAAAGATGAATGAAAACACCTAAGTCCTCAAAGTGCAGGATTTCATCAGCTGAAGACAAGGATAAAAGGGTGTCCTCTCATCAGTGATATTGCTGAGGTGCAATTTTCATGAAATACCCTTCAGAAGGAGCAAAATACAAAAGAGTAATCTTGGGATCTGTAATTTTTTTCTCCTGCTCACTTTTATGTGACTGCGGGAGATGAGGCCAATTTTAGTGTGATGGAACAAAGATACTTGTGGGAATTGCACCTCAGAGGTAGAATTGTGTGCACATGCTATTATACGTTTGTACACATTTTACACTGCTGCTCACAGTTTCCTAACTGCGTGTGGTTATGCTCTTTTTCCCCCGTGTGTGCATGTGTGCGCGAATATCTGCGATACCAGGTGACTCTCGGCCTATTCGGCCATGAAGAAGAGGTGATCTCCAACCCGCTGTCGCCTGGGGTGATCCAGGGCATCATCTACAGCAAGTGCTCCCCTCACGGTGGTGAGCTGGAGGCTGTTCTTCAGCAGGAGCTGGTCATCCATATCGGATGGATTATCTCCAACAACCCAGAGCTGTTCAGCGGCATGCTCAAGATCAGAGTCGGGTAAGGAGAAAGTCAGGTTCCGCCTCACACCTCAAGCACATTTACTGATGCGAGGTAGACTCATAGAGGATGTGCTCTTTGCTGCTACTCTCCGTCCCTGGAGCTCAGACCACTCAACGAAACATGAAGCAGTCAATACTTCTAGCTGTCAAACATATTGTGTCCATACCAATGAGACCTTGCATCTCATGTTGGTTGTCACTAAATGAAGCACAGTGCAGCTGCACACTGAGATTCTTCAGAGTTCCAGTCAGGCAAGAAGACCAAAGCTACAGTGTAACAAGTGTTGTGAGTTTGAGAGCAGTGTAGCATTTAAACTATGAATTATTCATTTCTAAACAAGAAAAAATTTATTCCGATCCAGGCTACTCTGCTGTTTACAGCTTTTATCAAATGTAGTCTATAGCCATATATTGTATTTGAGCAACAGACTCTAACTCTCATTTAGAGACGGGAATTTGGGGTTCAGTTTTTTGCCCAAGACACCCACGGAATGGGGGAGACGGGGATCAAACCGCCACCCTCTGGTTAGTGGACATCCTCTGTACACAGCCGACCCCAACATCAATGGGCACATTTAGGGATTTTGAACACATTTATCAAGTGGTGACTGTGGCTAAGGAGAGTGGGTCGTCCACTAAACAGACGAGTGGTGGGTCGATCCCTGGCTCCTTCAGTTTACATTTTGAAGATACAGAACCCCAAATTACTGTGTCTGATATGTTGAAAACAACTTGTTCTGTTAAATACTCACGCTACCACTTAAAGGAAGCCACCATGATGTCTCAGGGAAATAAGGTTAGAGCGAGTGGGTGAATATGAAGCATGTAATCATGTGTGTATCTCCAGCTGGATCGTCCAGGCCATGAAACATGAGCTAAAGATCCGGGCAGGAGACATGCCCCCCCAGGAAATCTACCAACTCTCCCCCAGCGACATCAAGCAGCTCCTGCTGGACGTCCTGCAGCCGCAGTACACCGGCAGGTGCTCTTCAAACACACCTTCACTCAACAGAGAAGATTTATTATCGATGCTCTCTCATCCTTTTCATGTCACAAACCTACTTTGAAAGACTCCACATCTTTATCTTAATGCTTTACTGGTATAATCTGTTTTGTTTCAATTATTTTATCTCCTGTGCTGTCTTGTCTACATCCGTATCTTATTATCTGCTAATGCCACAACCCAATTTCCCCATGGGAATTATTAAAGTCTTATCTTATCTCATCTGGTCTAATACACATCGACTCGATAAACAATTTCCTTCAGCACACTGGCTATCAACATTATAATTCCTCTGTTTCTAAGAACCGGTTCAACAGTTTCCCCGCGTGTCGCCCGCAGGTCATGGCTGAACAGGCGTCAGATCGATGGCTCTCTGAACAGGACCCCTCTGGGCTTTTATGACCGTGTGTGGCAGATCCTGGAGAGGACCCCCAACGGTATTCAGGTGGCTGGGACTCACCTCCCGCAGGTACCCGCCGGTGACACTGATCAATGTGTGCTGCTGTACAAACAGCTAGAAGTTATAGAAACCTGTATAAACATTAACCTCACAGACTCAGATCTCTATGTCTTTATGTATTTTGTGTTGCTTGTTTCTGCAAGTTCTAGTGACAGTATCTTCCCCAAAATTGTGCACATGCACAATACATTTTGCCTGTGCTGATATCCATTGATTTTTCTGACAAATCCAAAAGTTGTTTATAAGTGCCTCCATTAAAATGAAAATCAATTTTTTTAGTGTTAATGAAACAATGTTTTATGTTTAATAATTTTTTGGGACTTCATTGATCATGTTCTATCTGTTTTCATTTCACATGTTGCAGTAGGAACATCTCAGGTGTCAAGACTAAAATTGAATATGGCTGAATTCACATGTTTTGCTCTGTAGGTTTAATTGGTGATATTGATTATCATAAGAGTGTAGAGGTAAACTGATACCTGTGTTCTAAAATCCATTTGGGTAAGAAAGGATGTGAGAAACCTTCAAGGACAATATCTGTATTTGGTTTTATTTCCCAAAAGACTACCGTCACTGAGCAGTTTATTTAGAGTGCAATGCCAAGGGCATGGTCACACATACGCAAAGTAAATATCTCTGGTCAAAGTTTACCAAAGTTCTCATCCTGCTGATTGGAAGTAACCAAGAGGCAAAGGTTAGTGTCTGCCACATTCACGTATGTGTGATCGTGCCCTAATACTGGTTAGAGCTTCTATTGCTCTCTAAACATATTTATGTTTTTCAAACACTCTGACAAATCCTTGCTTCACCTGTTTGAGGATGCAGTTTGGTCTCTTCACCACGACCAACAGCTCAAACACAAAGAATATACACACAAACTGTAACTGCTGTCGTGTTGCCTCACAGCAAGTTATCAGTCTATTGGTTAGTATGATTTTTCTGAGCTGGATCGACTTTGATCTCAGTAAAACTTGTGATACATTTATACTGTCCACTAACTGACAGAGACTCCACAGTGATCATCAATCACAGCAGCTGACGTGACTCTTCACTCTCATATGAGCCACATTCTTTTTTATTACTCTGTCTCTGCAGCAACCCACACTGTCTGACATGACCATGTACGAGATGAACTTCTCCCTGCTGGTGGAGGACACCCTGAAGAAGATTGTCCTGCCCGAGTACAGACAGATCATAGTGGAGGTAAACAGACCAAACACAAGTGCATTGAATAGATTCTAAATAAACAAGGATAACTTTAATTGAATTAGATGTGTATGGATTTTTAACCAACACAACACTGACTTTGCTCACTTCATTCTGTAGAGGCACCGCAGCGCCGAGCAGCGTCATTAACTGACTTCATTTCTAGCAGATTTCCACTGGCCGTAAAGTTAATTTAAAGATTCCTTATGAACACAAAGTCTGGTGTAGACCTTAAGAAAAAGTATACACTTGACTCAATTGCTGTTTTTTAAATTCCTCACTGTTTTGTCCTTTCTCCGCTGGCTGAGTAGCTGCTGATGGTGGTGTCCATCTTGCTGGAAAGAAACCCGGAGCTGGAGTTCAGCGACCCGGTGGATCTGGACTATCTGGTGAAAGAAGCCTTCGGTGATTTCCAGAGGGATCACAGCAGCTTTGAAGGGAAAGAGAAACAGGTAGTTTTTCCTCTTGGTTGATTTTAATATTTTCTCCTTTGACCATAACATCTGTACCACAAAATGATCTCATCACCTTTTTCAATTCAATATGCTACCAAACTGAACCGAGCTTCTGTTCCAGCCTCACACTGATAATTCAGCTAAGGAGTTAGTTTAATTAAATGGTGTTTAAAAGGCCAGGACAGACATTTTCCAAGTCACTAGAGCCTTATTAGATTTGTGATATTTAATCCTTCTCTGATGTTTTCATGTCACTCCACTGGCAACAGACATGGCTGAAGGTATTAAGTTTGTCCAGCAGTGAATTAAAAACCTCAGGAACGACTTGAGGGAATTAATTTGCATTTCTTCTCATGCCTCACAAAACATGTTTTGGCCATAACTCAATAATTCTAACACTAATTGCAAAACATTCACACAAATTGGACGAAAGGTAAACTTCAGTGTGACTTCATGATCATACTTTTTTTGCCATTAGTCATAACTCAGGAAGAGAAGGGGAAATAATGACTGCATTTCATTACACATGCTCAGATACTAGAGTAGTGTTTGTGTGGTATCCTCTGTGCTGCCAGGTTGCAGGCGTGTGTGAAGCCTGTTTTATAATTTGTGCCTTCTTTGCCGCAACATCCATATTTGACAGAGTATGTCAAAACATAAGGAATTTGATAGTTTTTTGTTTCACTCTGTGAACTCACACAAATATACAGTAGACATAGCAGAGCAAGAACAATAGAGTTAAACATAGTAGAGACAAATCAGTTTTTATATATCCCTAAAGTCCTGACCATATACAGTGAATGAGTCTGGCAGACAAAGATTCAAGCTGCAACTTGACTGGTTGATGCAAGAGGCAGTCAGTTTACTTTCTCATAGCAACAAATTCCCAAACAGTGTTTGATTTTGATCAATGTATTCATAATTAGCACATTTTACAATTCTTGCAGGAAAGTGATCTCTCTCCATCTTTGCCTCTGTTGTCTTTGTCCCAGGATGGTATGGAGGCTTTCTACAACACACCTCCTGTGGGAAAGAGAGGCACCTCCAGCTATCTCACCAAGGCTGTTATGATCCAGTTACTGCAAGGGGATGTCAAGCCCTGCAAGGATGACCCCTGTTCTGTTAGTTAGATTTACAATGTGATGACCCCCCTATGCAGTGTAGTCTTCAAATGGTCCAGTAAGGACGACTGAGTATCCATCACACATATTCAGAAGAAAACCTCTCTCCTACCCACTCCTCCTAAGCTACACACCCGTAGATTGTGGTTGGTTTTATTATATATTATATACTACAACTAGAGGTCATGCACGAACAGTTTTTTTGTCAGTTATAGTGTCACTGGAGTCTTATTTGTATTATCTCTATACATATATGTTTTGTCAGAGTTCTGCATTCCGTCTGCATTGCATATCAAATTAAGATTTATATTGATTAAATGCAACCTCTAACCTTTATTGAGGGGGCACAGATTGGTAACTTTTGCCCCAAGGGTTTTAGCACTTTGCCCCAACAGTTAATATACTGCACATCCACCATCCACCGGTTATGTAGGAACTTTACTTAAGCTGCTTTCAGACATGCACCGAAATCCTGCTCTGCACATTTTCCTGAGATGTTCTTGAATAGTCCCCCAGTAAACTGTTTGGAAAGTGTCAGAGTGAGTCCATGTCAGAATACAACAGGAAATTCACAAGCAAGTAGGTGGGCGTGTTGGTGACATTTCTAATAATTGGCGTGAAACTGAAAATAACAGAATGCAAATATTTCATGATTCAAAAGAGGATCCAAACACACAGAAGAGGCTGATGAATATGTTAATTTGGAAAGAGAACGATATTCGATACGCTCTACACAGACGCCGCTGAATTTTCCTGTTGTTGTCAAAGAATCTGATTTAAACAAACTCCTGCTGTGTTCCTCATGTTTGAAAAGCAAAAAGTCCGGAGCCAATTTCGTAGTTCATGTCTGAAGATGGCTGTATGGAGTTCAGTCTCCCAACTGGGATAACTATTTGAGTAATTAAAGTTTTAATACAAGTTGGTGGATAGCTTTTTCAAAGATCCAGTTAGCTAACTACTGTTAGCTTACTCTTTCTCCAATGCTAAATATATTATAAAAGAATATATCAAAATAAAATTAAAGAGAAAAAAATTACATTCTATCCAAATGTAAGAAGGGATGTTAGGCTGAATTGACTTAAGCTGTAACAGAACATTTATATGACTGGTATCGATCTTCTCTTTTAATTTTTTGTTAGAAAGTGAAGCAGCATGTTTCTCAGAATGTGGAGCTGTCTCTCTAAATTTTTGCTGTTGCTTAAAAAATCAGTTTAAAATGTTTTGCTCTGGCTATCAGGTGTAACGCCATCATGAACTGTGCTACATGAACCAGGCTCAGATGTAGCCATTCAAACTGTACATTTGGCCTCACCAGCAATAACATAGCAATTTAATATGCAATATGCTATTCAGTCAGTATCAGGTCAACCTGTTTCATGAGAGATGTGGTTCTTAAATTGGCTCCAGGGGCCTTAAATTTGTGAGACTTCTATGAAACAGAAAGTGGTTAATTTTGTCATTACTTCATGTATCATGATTCCTTAAAAATACACATATGGATCCTGATCAAATGCAGCTTAAGATTCAGTGTGTAAGATTTTGGTGAAAGAGATCTAGTGGCAGAAATTGAATAAATAATAATCCTAGTGATGTTTTCACGTGTGTTTCATCTCAATTGTACAAATTGTTGTTTTCTTTACCATACAATGAGCAGCTACTGAAACTGAACTGAAAGCTACCTCGGGTTTTCCTTCATGTTTGGAAGGGGAGGGTGGGGTGAGGGATATTCAGCTGCAACATGCAACTTTACCACTAGATGTCACTAAATTCTACACACTGAATCTCTAACCTTGTAAACCTCAGTCACAGTATCTGCAGGTCTTTGGCATTTGATAGTTTCAGAACCACAGCAGAGAATATCAAATTTATTTTTTAGTGAGTTATACAAAATATATTAATTATGAAAATACATACATGTCAGCATTAGGTGTGTTGTACTGTGTTGAGTTTCTCTTCGAAAAACTCTGTGTGCTCTTACCTCCGTGCATGCACAGTCTGCTGCATGACAATAGGGATCGCTTTAGCCAGCGTGATGGTTTCTCTGAATGTTATAAGCTACAAAATAGAGTTTCTGAGAGGCCCATTTCTGCACAATAGGGCTCTGCATGACAATGACAACTGCTCATCTGAAGTGGCGGGACAGAAAATGCTGTTTTGTTGAATGTGGGCAACTGAAAATAATGCTGTCAACCTTATGTAGAAATGATGAAAGGTTCTCTATTTGAAAGCGTGCCTTTCTGAATATCATCACTGTGATGAACCTGCCTAACCGTGTTACTGTGTGTGTGTGTGTGCTGTTTACCCTTTTCATTCAAAAGAAGTAGTTTTGAAAATACCAGAATAAAATCATCGTGGAAACGTTACACTTGTGACACTTTACTATCAGCTGTAGAACCTACATTTGTGATTGGTAAATAAGTGCAGCTTGCAACCAGAACATCCCCTTTTATCCTACAGTTATGTGATTAACAAATGTGGACGTGTAATTACTCCACATAAAGCAAAAAAGCTCTTGTTCCTTGGCAAAGACTGCAGCGTAAATGGAGCGTGACAGCCACAACCCTGAGGGGCGTGTTTGGCATTTGTATCAGATCCTTCCAGTTACACCCACTTATGTTGTCTGAACCCCGTATCAATCTGCATCTTACCCCCTAAAGTGTGTGCTGCCTGCAACTCTGACTGACTGTCAGAGAGAGGGAGCCAGTGGAGAAGATAAACAAGCTTTGCCTCATAGATACTTTCTAATCTGATGGTGAAAGGAGATCTTGCCTTTTTTTTTTTTTAATAAATCTCTTCTTCACTAAGACAAATCCACAAGAATATCTTTCTCTGAATAATAAGTAAGGGGTTTTGAATAGGTTTTAAGTTTTATTCGTATTTCTTTTGTTGAATTTTGTATCTTCTTGAGTTTTTTAAAGTAAAGACATTTTCTGTCTAACAATAAGGATCTCTTAAAGGGGAATTCTACCAATTTTGAGGCTAAAGGTAAATCTGGCTTGTATGGCAGTACTATGAGAGCCATGTGACCCACTCACTAGATCAGACATCATTGCCTTTTTAAACTACATGCTACTCCAGATGCAACTATTTTGCACATTAGGAGGGAATGGAAGTTCGGGAAACAAGGACCTGTTGACACGCACAACACCAAACATGAGTCGGTCTCATCTGCCTGTTTTTACAGCATCAAATAACTAATTACAACCAAAATCTTTGGAAAATTAATACTTGAACATAGATCACTTTAATAAGAGCTAAATTACTTATACCTGAAGATTGCTTTATACTTTTGTCCATCTTGCATCCATTATTGAGGATGACCTGTACTATATATGCAGTCAGTGGTCAGTGGGGAGTAAATAACCACCACAGAGAACTTGGAGAACTCTTAAGAAGGAGAAAATGTGTAAGAATTAATACTTGGGAATTATAATTTTTCCAGTACTATTTCAAGTAAAACCCTATACAAAGCCACGATCATGTTATTAACCCTGACATCACATTTGTCCAGTGATGATGCCCATCCTGACATTTTACGAGTTTATGCTTTATCGGTCCACTAGGACGCAGTAGAGATCAAGAAATGGAATTTATATGCGCTCAGGTTTCTGAGACGTTTCATTTTCACATAATAAATAGTGAAGATCATGAACAAACAAGGTAGATTAAAATCCATGATCTATTTAACCAGACAACCCAGAATTTATATTCATTACAGTACTTATAACTTACTTAACTAACTCCTTACAATGTCCTGTGGCTGTTTTAATACAAATTATCAATTTAGAAATGTGATTTGGATAAATTGATAAAAAGATGACAATAGTGTGCACAGACCAATGAATCATCATGGAAATAATGAACAATAACAACAGTTTCTCTGGGCTGCTCATGATCATCACACATTACCTGCAGAAAAACAGGTCATCTTCCACCTTGGCCTCACACTGCTCTGTGATTTTCTGACCGGAGGACTCAGGAGGTGAGGGCCAGAATGGCTCTTGTTGGCCAGAGACCCTGCTGTTTGTCTGATTGGTGAGGAACAAGGAGGGACATTAGCAACCGATAGTAAGCAGCACAAGGATCACAGACCAGTGTCCGTACGGTATCTCATAGCGTGAATGTGGGAATGAAATAATAGTAACAACACTGATTAGAGCTGAAATAAAACTAGATTGGATACACGTGTATGTGGGAGGATGGAGAGAGAATAGACTGATGATTACTCCTTGAGACTGAAGCACATTCTGTCTGCTAAAGAAGAGGTAACACTGAGTAATAATAGTGATATTTAAATCAACTGCAAGTGTGTGAAAGCACATCTCATCTTTTCACTCTGGATTTCTCTCTTTATTCTGCCCCTAAGGACAATTAATTTGGGTGCACACAAGATAAAGAATTATCTCGTCTGCATCCATTATCATCTTGTGTACAGAGGACACAAAAAGTGTCCTTTAGTGGCTCCTTAGAGATAAATGTTAGAAAGCATAACCACAGATGACACACTTATAAAGTATGCTGATTGTTGAACACGATATGGATTCCTCCCATGGAAGCAGGCACAGCTGCCACAGGGGGAAAAGGTCTGTATCTCTAACACATATAATACAGCAGGACATCGTCCCTTGGTGTTATCTGTGTTTGAGATGTCAGTGACTGCCAGACTGTAGATAAAACTCCATAATAATGTGTTTAGTCTGCCAGTGGCCAACCACAGGGGAATTTATACGGCCCATCCACAAGTGGTCGTCATCCATACATCATGTTAACATCAGTCAAAAGAAAAAGAATTGCTGGACTGTGATAGCTGACCTTTCTGAAAAATCCTTTCTGGTTTAACAGTTTGCTGGATGGCCAGGAAATACTATGAATTTACCACTCAAGGTACCCAGAGGATGAATCCTCCTTGATTTTAAGACTCAGCAACAGTTCTCTCATTCTCCTGAATGTTAACAAGCTAGACTAGATGGTAAATATAAGACCCTCTCAGAGCAACATTATATAACTTTTACTGAGCAATACTGCCCTCTGCAGGTACATGTGGCAGTTCATTCTGTTGGGCTCTGTGTCTCAGCAGTTAAAGTCTGGTGCACACTAGAGGATTTTCAACTCTTGCAAAAAAATAATATGGAGGAAATCATGGCTGAGAAGGCTTATGCATTTTGCAGCGTGACCAGGAGGTGAGTAGGAAATGTATTGTTGTTTTATGCAACATCCGGTTGGTGGTGCTTCCCAGTCAGCTCGCTCTCATTGGCTAATGCTGGTTTCTGTCAGAGCCGATTATTGTAAATATAAAACATGTTTGATGTCGAGAACGGGGAGGCTCCGACTCATTCAGTAGCATTATGATTATTCTGTAAACTTCACTTGAGGATTATTTGTGCAGATAATCGGCACCCAGTCAGGAACGTCCCTGAAATTGTTGGAATGGGTTCAAAATGCACTCGATTATCCTCTAGTGTGCATCAGCCTGAACTGAAAAAACAATGGAGCTCTGACTGTGTAGGCCCATTCACTGAACTGAAACTAAAATGATCGGTTGATATTTCCCATGATACCTGGCTTCCTGAACAAGAAGGGCAAATACTTATAGTATTTATATAGTATAGTTCTTCATGTTTTGGTCCCCATGATGTTGTACTGTGAACAGGAAAAGTGACAGATGAAAAGATGGTGCATAATTGCTCAACTCTGCGATCCTGGCTAATTGCTGGGTTGAGTGGGTTATAAAGTTACAGAGATAATTGGACATAAACCTGACCCCGATTCTAACAGCAGGGTCCCAAGCTATTCAGCCATCCACCAGGCAGTTGTGATGAAGCGTGCTGGCCTCTTTAGTGAGCTCATCATCATCCTGCTGTCCCGAGAATAACAGAGAGTTAGTATGGCCTTGACCTTTGACCTCCTTCATTTTGTTGCAGTATGTTTAAATGACTCCTAATTGATTGATAACACAATCACAGTCACCACAGCAGCTAAATGACATTGTATTACTGTGTGCAATTTAGAGAGCAGATTGTCCTCTGAGCGACGGACGGACAGCAGTGTATTGTGGGTCCCCTGAAACAGTCGACATGCTGGTGCTGCTGTGACCCAATAATTTAGTGTCAGTCATCATGAGAGCCAAGGTGACACAGATCTATCAACATCTCTGGCATCAAGCCCAGACGCACACACACAAACAAACACAAAGCCAAAGAGCTTGATAAGCCACATTTCCTTTTTTAAATCATGGCTGAACTAATGAACAACAAAAAGACAATATAAGTGGTTCACTTTGTGCAGCTTCATGTTAGATATCAGTTTATTAAATGAACTGAAAACGTGCAGCGCAGAGCTGATTGTTTGTACTTAGCCCTGTAATTTGAATCATTACTCAGACATTCAGAGAACAGCTGTTATGGCAACATGATGGGATAAATAGTGAGCTGTGTATTGTGATGGAAACCTGTGCTTTTGTAATTATGTCAGCTCATGCTAAACACCAGTAGAGTAAGGGTGGTGTTTGCTGTAAATGATGGGGGAAGTGAAGTGTGTTTGATATGTATTTCCTCTTATTTTAACCTGCACATTCACTCTTTAGTCTTTATAACCTGATCCCAACCTTCACTCTACCTTTTTGTCCTCACATAGAGGGAGATGCACAATAAAGTGCTATATGTGCAGAAGTTGACTAAGTTTGAGTGTACGCATGTTGTTGTTGTGTGTGTAAGATGACTAAATGTGAGGAGAACTGTGGAAGCAGCACATTCAGTATAAACTCTCACAACAACAAGCTGTGTATTTTCTATAAATCTATGGTTTAATTAATAGAAGTCCCACTTTCAAACTCCACACTCATTTTATAAAGAGGCTGACCAAAAATAAGCTAAAACAACATCACACAAACAACAACTCAGCCTAATACAGCTTGTTCTCTCCCATAAACAAGCACAGAAAGCTTCCATTGCTTCTCCTCACAGGCCTGACTGTCACTGTACACTCACTAGATATTTACTGCATGTATATGTGATACCACTTTATCAGGGTTTTGATGATAATGAAGGTTATTACAGTGATGACACACTCACTTTGTACAGCTTAATACTGAACAAACAAGAGGAAGTCTGACAGCAAACACTATGTGAAAGATGATTACACACAGTCAGTGGTAAGATGTGTACATTTACTCCATCATTGTGCTTAAATACATTTTCATGAATCTGTTCTTCATGTACTTCTTCTGTACTTTTCACTTTTACTCCACTACATTTATCAGCAAATATCTATACCTTCTACTCCACTTCAATTTTAACAATGCATCTTGTTTAATAAATAAATAAATAACCCAAGAATTGGTCGTCTGATCCAATTAGAGCTGGTG